GCGAGGAGATTAGAATGGCAGTGGAGGGTATGAGTGTGGGAAAATCGCCGGGGGTTGATGGTATTCCTTGTGATTTTTATAAGGAAAACTGGGAATGTTTGCGTGAATTTTTAGTGGTTTTATTTAATGCTATGAAAACCGAAGGTAGATTGGGGGAACAGCAACGTACGAGTGTGGTGGTCATGGTCCCGAATAAGAAGTCTTGTGATTACGTACACGAGTATCGATCGATATCGTTAATGTGTGGTGATTACTAGATCTTTGCTAAAATATTAGGGAATAGGATGAAACGAGTTCTTGACAAAGTTTTGGATGAGGGTCAATATGGTGTGCCTGGGCGATCAATGTGTGGGGCAAGGGATCATAAGTAGGTTTATAGACGAAAGTGGGGGGGGCAAATAAAGGTGGGGTATTAGCATTGGATTGGCATGCGGCATATGACCGTGTGGAGCGTGAGGCGCTGTGGAAGTTAATGCAGTGGCAAGGGTTTGGGAGGGAAATCGTCAGTTGGGCAAAGGTGTTGTATGAACAGGCCATGGTACGGGTGCAGGTAAATGGTAGGCTAGGAAAACTAGTTAGGATGGAAAGGGGCTTGAGGCAAGGGTGCCCTGTGTCACAGCTTCTCTTTGCGTTGATTCAGGATCCGTTCATTAGGGCTGTGCAAGGGAGTGTAAGGGAGGGAGTGAAGAGAGATGAAGTGGCTGTGGAACAAGGGATCGTGGGTTATGTGGATGATACCACGGTTCTATTTAGAAGGTCAAAGGATTTACGAAAGGTGGGTGAATTGGTGGAGCTTTTCGGAAGGGCAACAGGGATGACGGTTAATAGGGAAAAGTCTATGCTTATGAGGGTGGGGGATGGCATGGGTGGGGCTCTAGGACAGGAAGAAGGCTGGCCCCTGGTGTGTCAAATTAAGGTGTGTGGGGTTGTTCATATGGGAAATCTTCAGGAGGCGAGGGAGGTGAATTCGAGAGAAGCTGTGAATAGGGTCCTAGGTAGATTGGAGGGATTGCGTACAGGAGGTCTGACGTTACATCAGCGTGCTATTGTGGTGAATGTGCTTTTGTATGGTAAGCTGTGGCATGTGGTAGGTATATATTCTTTGAAAACGTGCGATGAGAAGCGTCTGTTGAAGCGTGTATATCGATATATTTGGGGTTCGGGATGTGACTGGTTATCGAGAGATGTGTGTCTTCCGGCATGCCAGGGAGGGCTGGGGTTAATGGCGCTGCATCAAAGGATGTTGGACATGTATGTTAAACACAGTTATTTGAGGGAGGGTAGGGTTGCAGGCACAGGTTTGGCATGGGTTCGAAGGGATTTGGAGTGTTGGATGAGGGGTAGAGATGTCCAGATGTGTGAGGGAATGCTGAGGTTATTAATTTATGCACGGGACCCACCCATGGTCAAGATAGGAAGACTGGCTCAGGTGGGTGGTAGGGAGGTGGTTGCTAAGGTGGAAGGTATATATCTGATGTATGCTGTATGCGTGGTGTGATATCTGGGGCCGTTTAAAAGGGTTACGATTGAAGGCAGTGGTAAGGGAGGTAATGTTTAAATTTCTCCACAATATATTGCCGTCTGGAGAAGTGTTGGCAAATAGGCGTGTGCAGGAGGGTGGGGAGTGTTGTGTGTGTGGGGACATTGACACTGTCTTTCATGCGATATTTTTTTGTGCGAGGTTGGAATCAGTGAGGGAGTGGTTTAGTAGGGTTTTACGTATGGTGGGTGGAGGTGGAATTAGTGTTTTAAGGGCGTTAAGCTTAGATGTGGAGTGGGGGTGGGGGGAGGTGCCGGTGCAGAACGCAATGGGTTATCTAGTCACAGACTTTGTGTACACGTCATGGGTTTACAGACATGTGTCAGTAAGGGATAGAATCAGGGCACTGGCAGCGATATTTTATGGGACGCAACGGAGGAATAAGGACATCACTGGGAACAGGTGGCATTTAACCTTTTGGGAGGGATATCGTAGCTTCCGCGTCAAGGATTTACGGGCGTTGCAAGCTTAAGGGGTAAAATGAAGCTGGCTTCTTGAGGTATGCGTGGGCGTGAGTGATGCTTTTGATAAATAAAGGTGTGGTGTACGGTGTGATAGTTCAGTAAGCTTGATCAGTTTCAGAAGACTGCTTAGTTAAGGTTAATGAGATATAATGCTGTAATGATATAATAATTAGTTAAACATTTAAGAATGTTCAGAGATTACTTCCAACAAAATTCACTGAAATGTACCAATTCAGCCAAGCTTTAGTAAGATTCCAGTTATTTTGTAATAATGAATATTTCAATATGAGTATGTTGTGACTTTTCTCCTTTACTGCATAAAGTTTTTGAGGAGATACATTACAACTTCATTATTTTAAAAATATTTGGATTTCTCCTAATATAAATAGACTTAAGCATTGTGTGGAATCTGCTGTGAGTAATTCGTCTGTGATCAAAAGGTTCCAAGATTATACATATGCTGTATAAATTGTGCCGTTGTTGATGATTTATATGATCATGTAATTTGTATAATGTTTATTTTTGTTATGGAGTAATTTTTAGGATAATTACCAGAGTTTGTTCTTAAGTAAAATCTCATAACCAGTTGCATGTATATATAAACGTTACATTAATTAATGTTTGATCACTGCTGTGATCATTAAGTGTGCGAATGATGTGGATGTATATATAGATGGGTTTTAATGGGGGGCTCCCCCCCCAACAGTTTTGTGTGTATGTGTCAGATATTTTATCATTTTGTATAATGTGTGTCAGTGAATGGTATGTATGTATTTTGCGTGTTTGTTACACATTCTATTTTGTATTGGGTTTTCAAAATTTTTCTTCTGCACTTGTGATATGATTCTTAGTAATCTTGTAATCAGTCAGGTTCGACCCAAGGAATGGGAGAGTAGCTCGAATTCCTTAGATCAAGAGCCTCCTCACGAGTATGAAGTCATCTTTGATTAATTTCTGTTTTTATCCTTCATTATTCCATATAAATTTATATTTTCTAAATATATTTTCCATCTTTAAACTTTATTCAGTAAATATATATATGTCGTGCTGAATATATATGTCGTTCTGAATATATATGTATGTCGTGCCGAATATATATATGTCGTGCCGAAAATATATATGTCGTGCCGAATATATATATGTCGTGCCGAATATATATATGTCGTGCCGAATATATATATGTCGTGCCGAATATATATATGTCGTGCAGAATATATGTATGTCGTGCCGAATATATATAAACTTGCGATTTTCGCTTAAATAGCAACGCTCTTCTTGCCGAAGAGCAATTATTCTGTGTAACCTTTTTAATTAATAGAAGAAAGGAAATGAATGTGCCTTTTGTCCGTTTAAATGTCCTGGTCTGGGATACTCGAATGTTCCCAGGGATACTCAGACGTATCTCTTCATATTTACCTAAATATTATGTACCAGTCTTCATAGTATCGATTAATATGTCTTACTTGGGAATCTTCTATACCATTCCGATAATATTTCTATGAGCCAAATTTCAACTTCTAATATCCTTTAGCCTCACTACCTATGTTATCATGCAATCTTGTGTACCTGTCAATGTATGGTACAGTAACAGCTAAACGGGTAATATGACCATTCACAACTGACATAGCATGATGTTTTGGTGCATAGACACTGATCCAGCATCACCAATCCATCATGAAATCGCCTGGCATAATGAGCAATCCTGTGATTTTGTATATTATTATTATTATAATCAAAAAGAAGCGCTAAGCCAGTGATTTTGAATAGCATTGTTGTTTATAATTGTGTACAATAGACTCTGCTAAATAGCTATCGAGCTTGTGTAACCCATAATTTGAGTTATATACGGTATTCCTGTCGTGTTTCAAGATTGGATTCAACTGTGTTTGTGACAAAACTGTTGGGTAAACTAGTCTGGGCAGCATCCCATCCCGGTGGGTGATTACAGGAACTAACGTGGTTAAAGATAGCGTTCAACTCCTACCCTGTCGTAACTGAGTAGTGTGAAAGTACTTGAGTTAAAGATTTCCACCCCCATGGCTTGTCTTGCATATGTGTATATATTATATATATGTGCGTATGTATATATATATATATATATAAAATATATATATATATATATATATATATATATATATATATATAATATATATACACAAGACAAGCCACATGGGGGTGGAAATCAAGAATTGTATATATATGCATGTGCATGCCTGTGTTGTGTGACTTAAATGTAAGAAGAAGTAGCAAGATATATCTGTTATCCAGCGTGTTTACGAGACAGAAAAAAGAACACCAGCAATCCTGCCATCATGTAAAACAGTTACAGGTTTGTTTCACACTCACTTGGCAGGACGGTAGTACATGTCTGGGTGGTTGCTGTCTACTTGCCTACTACCAATGAGCTATGTGAGCAAGGTAATATTTATGAAGGGATTCCGAGACCGGCAGGCCGGACTTGAGTCCTGGAGATGGGAAGTACAGTGCCTGCACTCTGAAGGAGAAGTATCATGTTGAAGTTTTGTAACTGTGGTGTAAGCGCGCCTCTGGCAAGACAGTGATGGAGGGAATGATGGTGAAAGTTTTTCTTTTTCGGGCCACCCTATGATTGTGGGAAACGGCCGATGTATGTATATATATATATATATATATATATATATATATATATATATATATATATATATATATGTAATTAGTGTGTATAATAGCGAACAATAGATACAAGATACAAAATAACCACGGGGCGGGGGGAGGGGAAGTTGAATGATAGCTCTAAACCTTTCGTGTTGCAATCAACACGTCTTCATGAGATTGCAATATTGCAGAAATGAGTAGGAAGTCCAGGAAGATTAGTTCAAGAGATGGACTCTAGCTATGTAGCTAGGGTGGAGGCTTGATACACCGCCAACTAATCTTCTGGAACAGTTCATATTTTCTTTGTAATTTGTAAATTCTTGGAGCATTTTGGAAATTCTGAGGCAAGAGAAACCAGCTGGTATACATATTATAAATCTTTATTAGTAAACTATTCTTATCAAGAATTGTACAGGGGTCACACTATCTACACGGGGAAGGCGGGAGGTCAGACTATTTACACGGGTGGTCACACTATCTACACGGGTGGTCACACTATCTACACTGGTGGTCACATTGTTTACAACGGGGGACGGGGGGGGGAGTTGGTAACAATTTGATCACAAACTACTATTAACAGTACATGTGAACTGTTAGAGTGGTGTCACTGGTACTGGAGAGGGGGAGTAGTGGTACTGGTCCTGGGGAGGGAGTGGTGATACTGGTACTGGGGAGAGAGAATGGTGGTACTTGGGAGTGAGGCTGGGTTGTTCTGTTCTAAAACTTCTAAACACGTGAAACAGCCAAACGCGATTAAATCAAATATAATAAACATGTGGGGTACATCATGGTGCCATGTGAGGTACATCATGGTGCCATGTGAGGTACATCATGGTGCCATGTGAGGTACATCATGGTGCCATGTGAGGTATATCATGGTGCCATGTGAGGTACATCATGGTGCCATGTGGGGTACATCATGGTGCCATGTGAGGTACATCATGGTGCCATGTGAGGTACATCATGGTGCCATGTGGGGTACATCATGGTAGCACGTGGGGTACATCGTGGTGCCATGTGGAGTACATCATGTTGCCATGCGGGGTACATCATGGTACCACGTGGGGTACATCATGGTGCCATGTGGGGTACATCATGGTGGCATGTGGGGTACATCATGGTGCCATGCGAGGTACATCATGGGGATCATGGAATGTGATCATGGTGCTCCTAACACTTATCATTACCGTGTGAGAGAGTGAGCGTGGGCGTGCAGAGGGTGAGGCGTGTGTGTGTATGTGTAAGCACGCCCCTCTCCATACACGCCCGCGAGCCCGCCCTCAGAGGTTACAATGGTGACCTTAAAGCTAACAGCGTCAGTAACTTAAATATGTCGTGTGTGTGAGTGTGTGTGTGTGTGTGTGTGTGTGTGTGTGTGTGTGTGTGTGGTGCACATGAGGCCTGTTAGATCAACATCCGTGCTAAGCTCTCATGAAACTGAGAGCGAGGTGGTAAACAGGTGCACGCCTACACGGGCGCGAATGACAGCCGGGGAGCAGCTATCACTGTAGACTGACACTGTCAGCCTAGCTTGACAGCTCTCATCAGCCCAGCTGGTCTATACATCCTTGACACGCTGAAACTAGGCCGCAGCCACTGTGTTCGTGCGGAAAATACGCATACATAATCTGACTTGTAGAACAAGGTAGCATCATGAACCACACAATATATTACGATATATATTACACATTAATAGCTCGATTCAAGCTAACTGACAGCTTCTTATATAAAAGTCTTTGGTAACAGGGTGTAGTAAGGTGACTCGGGGAAGAGTGGTGGCCTGGGCCCCTGGAGAGGGTCCCACACACAAGGGCCCCACCGTGACTAGCTGCATGTACAGGGCCCCACAACAGAGCCCGTCTGGGTATCACAGTCAGGGTGGCCGCCGTGTGCTGGCGGCCTCAGGGAGGAGGGGAGTAGGAGTGGAAGATGGGCCAGGGTGGAAGCATCAGCAAGTGAGCCCTGACACCTGCTCCAGTAGGTGTCTGGGAGCGTGGGAGGTGATGTCCACACTTGTTTCTGCATCAGGGGCACAGTATGGGTGATTATACCCATACCCCCTGCTGCTGCTGTTCCAGCAAGTACAGTAACACAGACTACTGCTGACACAGACTCCTCGTCAGTATCTTCGTGTACTCAGTACCTCATCATAGCTTGATCCAACACTGGCCTCACTCTTAACACTGAGGTAAATACATAACATTCTTTCGGAATATCATTTACAAATAACTTCCCGTACAAGAATATTTTCACCTAATAAATATAGAAAATAACAATATAAATTATTAAATACATAATAATTTAAGACTCTCACAGGATTTCGCCTTTAAAAATGTTGGATGTTTCAATATCCATCAGGAAAGGCGGCTTTCAAACGAGTCTGCACGATGTGCAGAGGAATGGTCAAGCCGGCAGGAAGGCTTCAAGCAGCGGCACAGCACTCGGCTGGACGCGTATGAACCTCCGGTAGCTGCTGCTCTAGTCTGGTCCCTCAGTTCTGTTCTCATGACGATGACGACGACAACGGCTGGTCATGGTCGTCCTCGGTGACAAGCGACACATCCTCGCAAATGCCCTATAACGTCTCGGGATTGGAGGGTGAGGACTCTGGGTGGAGGAGCTCCTTGTAGAGCTCAGACTGCAGGAAGCGCAGGTAAGCATCGGACTCCATCAGTGCCTGGACTCTCTTCTGCGCAGCGTCGAAGATGTATTTGTCTGGGCAGTCCAGAGACTTTGAGATCTGAGCGCGGGTGCTAGGGTCCAAGTTGATCTGAAGAAGAAGAGGATCCTTTTGTTAGATGAGAATTACAAACTAGTTTTTACGTGCTAGAAGCACGGAAACCTGCTAAGCCTCTTAGTCCTTATGTACTAGAAGCACGGAAACCTGCTAAGCCTCTTAGTCCTTACGTACTAGAAGCACGGAAACGTGCTAAGGGTTCTCTCTGGTTGATACAATGTCAAACAGTAATTCTGTTAATGTGGAGTGACCATTAAGCGAAACGGTGATTAAAGTGGATATTATGGAGGAAATGCGTCAATATAAGACGTCACTAGTCTCTCCTGGAACCTTAACACTAGCAGTGACAAGTGGATGGAGGGTGTGGAAGATACACATGGTGTGGAGGATACATACACATGTGGGTATGGAGGATACATACACATGTGGGTATGGAGGATACATACACGTGTGGGTATGGATACATACACATGTGGGTATGGAAGATACATACACATGTGGGTATGGAGGATACACACATGTGGGGCTAGAGAGTTAATTATTTAGAATAATTATCCTTACGTTCTCTAGATCTACAAGACTCGAATAACACCCAGGTACCTATTTACTTCTAGGTCAGCAGGGGCAACATCTTGCCTCGCACGGGGGTCGAACCAGGGTATTTTTTACTGTGAACCAAACACTCAATCATTGCGCTGGGAATAAGGAAGAGAATTCCATGAGCCGGAAAGATGACAGTGGAAAGTGCTTGACAGGAACCAGAGAAATAATGATGATGTGAGGTGAGTGAGGTTCACTTGAGGAAGAGGAAGTTGGTGAGGTTCACCTGGGGAGGAGGAAGAGTCGGTGAGGTTCACCTGGGGAAAAGGAATAAGAATTGGTGAGGTTCACCTGGGGAAAAGGAATAAGAGTTGGTGAGGTTCACCTGGGGAGGAGGAGGAAGAGCCGGTGAGGTTCACCTGGGGAAGAGGAGGAAGAGCTGGTGAGGTTCACCTGGGGAAGAGGATGAAGAGCTGGTGAGGTTCACCTGGGGAAGAGTTGGCGAGGTTCACCTGGGGAAGAGGAGGAAGAGTTGGTGAGGTTCACCTGGGGAAGAGGAGGAAGAGTTGGTGAGGTTCACCTGGGGAAGAGGAGGAAGAATTGGTGAGGTTCACCTGGGGAAGAGGAGGAAGAGTTTGCCTGTGTTGAACCCAGGCTCCGTCTGACCTTTACACCAGCTGCTCCCCGCCTCCCTCCCTAAAGGTTATGGACTCATCCCAGCCTGGGAACCACCACAACCACGGAGCCCATCTCTCAACCCCACCCAACCCACCTCACGCCCGCCAACCTACCTCACGCCCATGTGTCTCACACGCCCAGCGACCTCATACCCCACGTTCACTTCGCAAAATTAAACACTGACTTACCAACCCACGTTGTGAATAGGTTAGCCAAGGCAAGGCCTCTATCAAATAACCAAAACCTCCACCGACTGGTCATCATACAATGAAAAAATTACCAATTTTTCCTGACAAACAAAACACTATAGTGACCGTTAAACTATAAAATATCAAAATGCGTGTATTGACCCCTGTGATGCCATATTTAATTATAACCGCTAAACTACAGGTCATTCACAACTGGGGAAGCATATGGAAGTGTGACGTCACACTCAGTAAAGCACCTCATTAGTCATATAAAAAGTTCCAATTTTTTCTCTCTGCGCCAGTGACAAATATACATGATGTGCTGGCTGTGATGGTAGCCAAAATTAACTCTGAGGTGGAGTACGTGCGAGTATACGTGGCGTACGTGCGAGTACTAGTGGAATACATGTACATGTGGAGTACATATAAGTGCTCGTGAAGTACATGGACACACACATACACATGAGAGATAGTGATGCACAACGCAGCTTGTGGTGGCTGTAACTCCTGTAATGTCCTTCTCAAGCTAAGTCTCCATCTCCCGTAATATTCCTAAACCAAACAAAACTTTCACTCTTAGGGTCGTGAGGAAGGAAAACCATACTATTAGTTTATGAGGTTTAAAGCCTATTGACTACGCGAGGCTCATTAAGGCTGTATGCCACAGTTCATCCCCAGTCAAGAATACCTTACACCCAGTTTTAGGTATTAAACAATCAGTGTATAAACACAGACACACACCTTTAGGTTTGTATATGAATGGTATACAATACCGAGGGACTGATTACCTCATCTTTTGTATACAGTTCTACTGTCTTCTAATTATGTCCTTGATTTTGTACTGAAAGCCACTGGATGGCGAGACGTCTACAATAAAGATACCTCGGCAGACGTTACATATGTGTCTAATTTTCACCTTTAGGCTTATATGCCTCGTGAAGCAGATGCCATACTCGGATTAAGACTAGATGTGGGTACCAGAGCTAATGCTCAACTTCCACAAGCACAGACTGGTTAGCACACCTCCCACACTCTCAGTCTCCCACAAAACAGCAAGGGAGGCATTATTGCCCACACCATAAACCTCATAAACTTTGGCTTGGCCTCCCTAACCTGTCATACCCCCCCTACCTTGTTTCCCCTCTCCCAGCATCCAACCCTCTCGTCTCCCTCGCTCCTCACCTCCGTCGTTACCATGACAACGCAGCATCCCGGCCACGAGAACTATTGATTTCCACTGTAGCTGTAACACTGCTCTCTCACCTCCCCCGCCGCCCAGGACACACGTGACCGTGTGGCAAGCTACACACGTGACCGTTCATGTGGACAAGCTACACACGTGACCGTTCATGTGGACACACGGATGGTATATGGTAATGCATGAGGGAATGAAGGAAGGAGGGAAGTGGAGAGAGCTCTGAAGGGAGGTAGGAGGAGAGAGCTCTGATGATGGGAAAGGGGGAGAGAAAGGGAGGGGTTCCATCCACCCACTCATCCAACATGTGTTCTTGCTGGCTAACACCTGAGTCCACTAACATGAGTTATGTGAACAAGTGTGCCATAACCAGGTAAATAAATGCCCAAATAAGCGATAAAAAGATATTTTAAGGACGTGTCATAGTTTTCAGGAAGGAGGAAGGGGGTGCAGAGGAGGGGGTGAGGAGGAGGGGGTGAGGAGGAGGGGGTGAGGAGGAGGGGGTGAGGAGGGGGTGAGGAGGAGGGGGTGAGGAGGAGGAGAAGGGGGTGCGGAGGAAGGGATGGGCGTGGGGTGAAAGTGATGGGAAGGGAAGACAGGAAATATGATCAACCACTGGATCCTTGCTCATCTAGTGATGGAGATTTTAACATTGACTCGGGGAAGGACAAACTGTAAATCGGCTGAATACGAGACGCTAGGTAGCTAAAGTACAAAGAGTCCAGGAGTTAGAACTCAACCCCACGCACATCCGTGGCGAGTACATCCAGATATGTACCTCTGGGAAGGCACACAGCTGGCCAAGAGCAGATGTGGTGTTCAATGGTCATAACGGACACCAACGGTCATAACGGATCCTCTTCCGTTATGAGTCACGTGACAGTTGTGTACCACTGCGAGCAGCGGCTGGCAGTGAGGCTGATGTTCCCACACCGGTCCACCTACACTTGCACTGGCACCACAAGCTTAGTGCGCGCTCACGGAGGTTCCATGCTCACATTCTAATCTTGTGCAAAAGTCAGTTTGTAGATGAATGGTTCAGAGAACCGACATGTTGATAAATTAGACACATGTGCAACTCTTGGGTATCTTTATTGAGGGAACGTTTCGCCACACAGTGGCTTCATCAGTCCATACGTAGGAGAAACTTGAAGAACAGGAGAAGAATGAGGTAATCAGTCCCTCAACCTTGAGTCGATGTGTTCAGTCCATCAATCTTGAATAGATTGATGGACTGAACACATCGACTCAAGGTTGAGGGACTGATTACCTCATTCTTCTCCTGTTCTTCAAGTTTCTCCTACGTATGGACTGATGAAGCCACTGTGTGGCGAAACGTTTCCTCAAAGATACCCAAGAGTTGCACATGTGTCTAATTTATAAAAAGTCAGTTTACACACAAGGCTGGGTGGATAGACGGATGGTTGGGGGAGAGGTGCGAAGAGTCAACACAAACAGGAAAGAAAATACCATATAAGGGTGAAAAGGAAAGTGGAAACAGATAAGTACAGAAAGAAGAGAGGAAAACAGAACAGAGTGCGCACGGGCATGACCCAATTGCAGGCTAGTTTGGTCTAGGCTTAGGAACAGTGCGGTGCAAGCAGTCCATTAACAATCCTTTATGTTCAACTAATCTCGGCGTACGAAAACAACCGGATGTCTTTTTCATGGTCCACTTTCTGACAGCATAGCTTCGTGTGTGTGTGTGTGTGTGTGTGTGTGTGTGTGTGTGTGTGAGAGAGAGAGAGAGAGAGAGAGAGAGAGAGAGAGCATGTGATCGCCTTAACCAGGTGTATGAGGCTGTACCACTAACACACTGATATGTAATGACTTACATATTCTGTACACAAGAAGTAACAATAATGGAAGGTGTGTGTACTTAGAGCCCCACGCCTCTAGTCATACCTTTAATTACTCTGCTCATCTACAACTAATGCAATAGTAGCTTTAATAATAAGTTGTGTATGAGTAAAGAATTTAGAGCTTCTCCATGAATAATATAATAATGAACGTGAATAAAGCCTGCTGAGCTTGAGGCCCAGTAAGCTTACGACAATGTTGTTCTGTTCTAATGTTGTTGTTGTGGTGACACCTTGCAGTACGGTGGGGTTCTTGATACTAACACAAGCTAAGTTACAACTGCTGAGGAAGGCAACTGACCTCCTTGGGTGCCTGCACTGCCACGTAGTCTGAATGAATCTTGGAGGCTTTAGATGGCATCTTAGCAGCTCGAGTTTTCTTGAAGTCTTCCACTGCAAGCCAAAACTCCACATTCTCCTCACTGAACTCTCGCTGCAGGAAAGCCTTAAAAAGTGCTTGACCATCTGCAAGGAGAAGAAAATAGGATATTACTTCCTCGGGAGACGTATATAGAATTGGATATGAGAAGAAATACAAAATATTGAGCTTACCTAGGATGATATCTTCCTTCACACATACTTTATGTTAATCTGTCTAAGTCACTCAGATAGCCTTCACCTCTCCCTTATCCTTCACACTCTCCCTACCCTTGTTCCTGCTGACTTTCCCTATCCTAACCTCCCACCTGAGTAGTCTACCATGATAGATGTTCCTGGTACGGAGAAGCATATGGACAAGATTTCCTGCATTCCTGCTGCCCTTGTTCACCTACCAGTAAAATAGTTACCAGTCTGCTAGCTGAATGTTGTGGGTCGCATTCAGGGGACAGTGTTAGAAAGCTCTCGTTATGCTAGAATGTCACATTTGTAAAAAAGCACTCCGTTCCTGGGTATAACAACTCCAGTAGTTGGTGGCAGTATTAAAGTGCTGGGTGAAAGGTATCCATCTAATTTATGAGGTTGATTAAAAAAAACTCGTGATGTATGTCCTGTGACGTCACTACTGTCACATTCCCTTCTATATTCTAAACACTTGGGCTAAAATTAATGTGTGTGTGTGTGTGTGTGTGTGTGTGTGTGTGTGTGTGTGTGTTCTTACATAAATAAAACTAATAAACCTGCTCAACCTTTTCTGTTTGTTCTCAACAGCTACACAAATTCTCTTTCATGTAATCATCCTTCAAGATTGTTGATGTGGGTCGCCCACCTCACAATCCTGACCCACTCCCTTGCCTGCCACACCTCATCTTTCCCCTTCCCTACCACACCTGCTCACTCTCTTCCCTATCATGCCTGCTCATCCCCTTTCCCTCTGTGGCCAGGTTTGGCCATCCATGCAAGATCAACGACAACACTGTCCTCTCGCCCATCCCTCGCAAAGTCAGACCAGGGCCACGTCTGCCTTTGTGGACCGTCCTTGTATCTCTTCGTTGGGCACTCACCACACTTTTAGCACAATTAGCGCCACAAAAACCCCAGATCAACCCCCGCACCGCTATTTTCACTCCTTCCCGCTGCCAGGACGGTGTTGCCAAGGATCTACTTGTCGAAATGATCTTTACTGGACCACCTGTGCATTCACTAAAAGCTGCCAAACGTTCTTCTCTCATTTGCAGAGTTTGACTGTATCGAGTTATCTTACGGTCAATCGCCATAATGTACGATACGCGTGCGCTTTCAACATCTGTGTGTACTCGTAGCTACTGCAAAAATTTATACTGTTTTTTATCTAACCATTTGTAGGTATCCTAAACTAAACTTATCGTAGGAATGGTCTATGTGTGTGATATTACCTCTGAGAAGTTAAAGAACATAGGAGTCCCATTTCAGTGTTTAGTCTGCGGTTTGCTTTAAAGTTTGCAGTAATTATAGCATACAACTTTCACGTGAACTCCATTCCAGTATTTAATTATTCTCTGAAGAAAAATGTTTGTGTCCTTTCGGCACTAATTTTTGTCTCTGTGCTGCGGCTTCTTGTTCCTGTTTGTGCTGAGATGTGTTGAATGTAACGATGCGTAACACGTCGTTACTGAGTTTGCTCGATAATATCGTTTCATTTATAGCATCATACGCTATTCAGCTTAGTTCCTTTTTAATTAAATACCCATTATCAATGGCTTCCCTTTCACATTAGCTTTTTGACTTTCATCATTATTGTTTGCAGTCCAGCATTTATTAAATCCCCTCCCCCCCCTCTCTCTCTCTCTCTCTCTAGTGAACTATATTCATTTACGCGAGTTTTTCCATCTTTATTATGGATTTCTTATACTAAAAATTGACACTGTGTTTTGGATCATAATTTATCAAGTAGTTTACATTTTACCAATATTACTAGTTACTTCCTTTCTCCCAGAGTTTCTCTCTTTTCCATCCTAGAGAGTTGCCCTCGACCACTACCTCATTTAGAATATATTTACCAATGTGTTGGTGGGAACATATTATTATTATTATTATAATCAAGGGGGAAGCGCTAAACCCGGAGGATTATACAGCGCCTGGGGGGGGGATATGTGGAAGGCATTCAGGCTTAATTCGGGGAACTGGAGCACAGATCCAATTCCCTAAATCAAGAGCCCCTCACCAACATCAAGGAACCTTCCTTGAGGGGTGGTGGGAACATAGCAAGCTTTGGCTTGGACCTTCACCAACAATGTCAGGAAGGTGGAATGTACCGCAAATTCTCGCCACTTTTACCATGATGGTGTTGACCCTGCCAAATTCCAGCAGTCCGTTGATCACTCCTGTGATACTTGTGACCATTTACGATAGTTCTACTCTCGAGGCCCATCTTATAGCCACAACCCTATTCTTTACTAACAAGTCAACCAGGTTGTTGCTGCCAACGCCTCGTAGTCCTACATAGATATTACAACTTGGCTGATCTGTCAATTGTTTGGGACTTTTCAACATCCTACCTGTTGCTTCTGTCGTCCAGTACGCACCAGAACTGCCTGCCCTCCCCATTATAAGTACAGTACCTGCCTATGCTGTGAACTTTGTTGTCGACTGAGGGACTGAGGCGAGAGCAACGAAATGTCAATGTGGCAGATAAACATTCTCAAGATAAAAATAAGGTATGGTACGGTTCTACATAAATAATTTTTGTAGTTGGAATGGTAGGTATAGTGATAATTACAGCAGCTGTAGTAGTAGTAGAAGTAGGAAAGACGCAAATAAGGATTTACCCCTGGATGGGTACTAGCCAAGAGTGGTATATGTCCTTCTCTAACTAGACAATATATAGGTACTTACATTTAGAAGCCATGAGGTTGTGAAAGCTCTCTGCCCAGCCCTGGGCCTCCTCAGGTTGCGGTCTGACGCTCACCTGCGCCTCCCCGCGGCGCCGCAGCCAGCCTAGCCGCAGCCGCATATCACTCCTGTGGAGGACAAAGATAACAAGGTCAAGACCACATTGCCTATAGTAAAATAAGCCGCATCGTTCCTAGTGCAAATACACTAGAATAAAATTATTAGCACAACCGGTTTTTTGCTTGAGCAACACGTTCCCCTGTTTAAGAAAAAAAATAGGAAAGAATACAAGAGAATGATGGATTCCAATATCTGTATAGAAAAAAAATTATTTACCTGGTCTGGCAAAATCAAGGCAGAACACAACAATTTCATTAGGATTTTTACACTCGTCTGTGTGTGTGTGCGAAAACACCTAAACTCACCCAAAGTAGTCAGACTACCTAACCTTTCTCTAACCACAACTTCAATCACTGCTCTGTCCTACTCTAGTCCGTCCACTCCCCATTGTTCCCAACTCTCTTATGAGTTAACACAAAATGAAACGCAGTATGAGCACTTGAGTGTGGGTGGGAGTGTATGTGAGCGGGGGATACTCTAAGAGCTGTGTGAGATAATGTGGGAGTGCTACAAGTGTTGTGAGGGTGGGTGTGGGAACGTGAGGTACTGTGTTGTGAGGTAGGGTGGGGTGGGAGCTTAAGGTGCTGTGTTGTGAGGGTGGGTGTGGGGAGCGTGATGTGCTGTATTGTGAGGGTGGGTGTGGAAGTTCAGCGTAACACCAGTCGTCTCGGGAAGACTAGTTATGACAGTGGACAGGATGCTATATAATAATTTAATTGACAACACGGGACGTCCCGCGCACACACAATTCTGTATGTATGTGGTGTGTGTTTATCCAACAAGTGTAGTTCAGTAGTTTACACACTGGGTTTTTCATATCAATGTCAACAAGCGTGTAATCTCTGGACTGCCTCCTACAGGATGTATTATATCAACACCGTGTCAAGAAACCCACTGGGTTCCTTCCCACTTTCTCAAGCGTAGTACAACACCCAGTTAAGAGAGAACAATTATCCAGTAAATATTCTATAGACAGAATAAGCAGACACAGGCGCTGTGAGGAGATATGGAGGGAATAACGAGAGAGAGAGAGAGAGAGAGAGAGAGAGAGAGAGAGAGAGAGAGAGAGAGAGAGAGAGAGAGAGAGGAAGAAGGCGAGGTTTTCTGAAGGTTCCGGGAGCAGATGAGGTTGCCAGAGGGTTAGGCGTGTCGCCCCCGCAAATGTGATCAACAGCCGGACCTAGATTATGAGAGAGAGAGAGAGAGAGAGAGAGAGAGAGAGAGAGAGAGAGAGAGAGAGAGAGAGAGAGAGAGAGAGAGAGAGAGAGAGAGAGAGAGAGAGAGAGAGAGAGAGAGAGCTGCATTTCTGTACGAAAAATAAACAAACGTTGAAACAAAAATAATCGTGCCTGACTTGTATTGGAGATTTTTTCGGACGAGGGAGAAGTAGGATCACTGAAAGGGAGGTGGTAATGAAGGGGAGGTGCAGGAGTCAATATGGTTTGTGTTCTTCACTTCTATTTGGCCGTGTCCAGCAGCAATCGACTAACAAACAATTTTTACTGCTAGGTGGGCAGGGGCAGCAGGGTGTATAAATGTTCCTCCGTGCCAGGGGATCGAACCCTAGACTTTGCGAGTGTGAGACGAATGCTGTCACCAGGGAGCTACACAGCACCCTGACAACAATGATATCAAAGGGTTTAAGTGTGACCGGTGGGGAAAAGGGAGAGCGAGGAGGAATAGAGGGGTAAGGGGAGGAGTGTGGGTGATGACGCAAATGTGACGTCATGTTCTACAGCTGTGCTCACTAGAGCGTGCAGGAGCCACTTCTGTTTCCTTGTTCTCTGTTCCCCACTGTAAGAACATAAGGAACACTGCGACAGGCCTACTGACTCGTGCTGTGCTGGCTCAAGTAGAACTCACACACACACTTTTCCCGTCACCTGTGCAAGTTGCGGGCCAATGTTTCCTTTCTTAAGTCAGGGAGGAGCGACACTGTCTTGGTTGAGGTAGTCTGCTTCCACTGCTTCAAGCGATGCTGGGAGCCACCCATTCTCACTGTCTGTCTGTCCGTGTGTGTGTGTGTTTCTCTGCTTCGTTCAGACTAGTGACTGATATACTTGCTGCTGCATATGTGTATATGTTCCACAGAGACAGAGAGGAAGCCTCCTAAAAATGTGCTCCTGAGACAATCTCCTGAGTGTGCACCAGAGAGGGGCCTCCTGGGAATGTGTTCCAGAGAGGAAGCCTCCTGGGAATGTATTCCAGAGAGGAAGCCTCCTGGGAATGTGTTCCAGAGAGGAAGCCTCCTGGGAATGTGTTCCAGAGATGAAGCCTCCTGGGAATGTGTTCCAGAGATGAAGTCTCCTGGGAATGTGTTCCAGAGATGAAGTCTCCTGGGAATGTGTTCCAGAGAGGAAGCCTCCTGGGAATGTTCCAGAGGAGGCTTCTGGGTTTCAGCGCCAGCAGAGCCGCTAGAGGATCATTCTGGGTCCTGTCACCCTTCCTTCATAACACTGCTGCTAGCAAACTTCCTGTCCATTCACCTTCCTCTTCTCTTCGTCGATTTCTTCCTTTTATCTACTTCCTCCTCCTTTTATCTTGTTCTTCCTCCTATATTATTTCGGGAATGGAGCATGGTACACTCGGGGTGGAGAGAGAGAGAGAGAGAGAGAGAGAGAGAGAGAGAGAGGGGGGGGGGGAGAAAAAAAATTCTCATTTGCTCAAGCTGCTCTTTTAAAATGTTATAACTATACATTATTAGCCACTGCCCAAAGGGATAGTGAAAAAATCCAGCTACTATTGTTTCTCAAATACCATATTTGTATTAATTACTATTATTATTATTATTTGCATTGCTACTATTATTAATTATTATTAAACACTGATGCCTGAGGCCGAGTGAGAGAGGGTGGGGCTGGACGCAGCACCAACACAATACACAAGAAGGTTGCCTCATTTTGCCTGACTCGGATATATACGCAGGTGCACACACTACACACGTCATACATACCCTGTTAGTAAGTTACTTGTGTATGTGTACGTGTTTCTTGTATTTGTATACATAACGTTATTCGTATACGTGTAAGTGTTTCTCGTAAACATTGCTTTGTGCTTCCTACGTTATATTAAAGTTTTGCGTACTTGTGAGGTCGTTAGATCACAGACTCGGTGCAAGACAGAGAACACTGGACACACGTACTGTAACTGGCTTCCGCAAAGTCTGAACACAACACTACATTCTCCCATCCCCCCAACACACAAAACTACGGTTACATTCATACTCTAACACACATTATTATTCATACAAGATAAATGGCCTCCATAATTAACTATTCCACTCACACATGCAATATAACGTTCACAAACACGATATGAAGAGACAGTATGAGGCATGAGCATTACTCCGAGTTGGCACTGTACATGCACACTCACACACAGCTAGACATGACTGTCTTGGCATCTGGAGGACAAGAAAAATATGTGGTACTACCCCAAAGAGTTAATAGGTTATGTACTGCTCTACCTGTCTCTACACCTTCCCCACACTCACTCTACACTGAACGTCACTTCACCACTATGTAGAGCTCACAACACCAACACTACAACCTTGACACTTGCCCTCACATGTGACCACACCAGCATCACACACACCTGCCCTCACATATGGCCACACCGCCATCACACAAGACCAAACCATTACAACTTGACACGTGCCCATGCAAGACCACACCACCATTGCACACTTGCCCTCACACAAAATCATATACCGTCACACACACCTGCTCTAACATAAGATCACACCACCATCACTCACTCGGCACTTGTGCAACACACATACACCATCCCACATTTAGCACTTGCATTAGACCATAACATACCTAACACTTGCACAAGTCCATCACATACTTGGCACTCCTCACACCCTTGCACTATACACTTGGCACTTACCCTCGTATATGCCCATCAGACACTTGGCACCTGTCCTCACATGAGACTAGCAGACACTCGGCACTTTACACACCTGCTCTCACAAAAGATCATCACGTACTTGACACTCTTCACACTTTGGCACCACACAGGCAGTCCTAAAAAAACATTAGGCCTAAATTACCGTTTGCCGTGGGCGAGTGAATCAGCGATGGCAGAGTTAATAGAACCGAGGACGTTCTTGGTAGCCTTGAGTGACTCACGACGAAGATCAGTAGCAATCATGACTGTTGTGTTAAAGGGCTAGACGTGCTAGCCACTACTGAGGGAGGGGGAAGGGTAAGGTAGACGGCGGACTCCTTGAAGGAATGGTGGCACTACTAGGCAAAAGTCTTGTAGAGAATAAGGTGTTGGAGTCGTTGACACAACTCTTGCTGTACACTATTCAAAAAATCACTACAAGTGTTCCGTAGATAATGTAGTCTGCACTATGGTAGAATCCTTGTAGAGGTCGAGTTGTATATGGTTCAGGTTCTCAATTAAGAACCAGTTGTAGGCAATATACGAAGAGCAACTGGTTGTGTTTACAATCTGGGAGCTGAGAGTTACGTCTTGCTCTTGTCTTGTACCAAGGTGGTCTGAGCTGCCAGCCACCCGGCCCCGCTAAATAAGCCGCGACGCGCGCTCACGCGCACACACACATACGCTGTCACACACACACCCGCGCGCACACACACACAGACACACACACAAACATAGAGATAAACACAGACGCGCGCACGCTCTCCTCCAAGCCCTTTCCTGCCCTGATCTCTACTTTAATCCCCACTAATTCTAACTAGTAAAAGACTAAATAAACTTCTTAACAAGCACCTGTAAGTAAGTTTCTAACTTGGACAAGTCTAATAACCTAGTTACGGAAATGGTAATTAAGGCCACACAGGTATTGTGTCTTTTGATTATATGTATATAATTTTCACTTAAATGGTTCGGAATAAGTAAAATAAAGAAATCAATGAATTATAACAACAAAATATAGAAAACTGGGTAATAAAGAACATGTGTAAACAATAATAGACATAAAACATAAGAAAAGAGAAGTGTTGTATATTTCGGTCTGGCACTGAGTCCCTCTTCGGGAAAATGTCTGCTAAATAGGACTTCATTGTAAAACTGAAACATATATGTGCGATACTCATCTTTTATTTGGTCTCAATGTGTGTTCGTTTATACCTCCCCAATGTATATTAATTCTCAGAGCAGCTTCACATATGATCAGTTGCAAAAGACTAAGACAACAAGCCTGAACATGGCTTCCCGGATGTCCTCACTGGGCACACTTCTTTCCTTTACATTCTGGAGAAACATTAGGCGTCAAATAAGTCTGGAAAAACAATACAACTCAAGCGGATGTTGTTGAACTTGTTAAGCGACGTAAGGCGTAACCGACTCGACCAGCAGTGAGTTCACCCCTCTCCCTTTCCCCTACCCTCACCTATACCCCCTTATCTTCTCCCTTACCCTCCCATCCCCACAAGTCCACTCCCACCACAGCTTCAATCCACGGCCAAGCATAGCGTCACGGCCAGCGGGACCCCGACTCCCTGGGCCCGGCCTGGCTGGCCAGTCACTAGTGCGTCCCAGACGCTCGTGCAGGGAAGGTGGGTGTTTCTCGACCAGCTTCGAACTGATCTGGACACCAACCAATTTGTCATTTGTGTCCGTTCCGTCCAGTATTCTTTCTCCCCACGGAACATGTGTGAGGTATGCGGAGAGTATCTCCTGCCTACCTCGTGGTGGGAGATTACCTCCTGGCTGCTAGAACATGTCTTGCAACAGTCGGAAATCTGTAGAAAGGTTTACCGTGTCCGTGTGAGGCAGTGGGATCACTCTTGCCTCCAGGGTCTATTAGACATACCTGAGACCGGTTTTTAGTTTTTTCTATTCTCATTGCCAAACCCAGACCCCAGGTTCAATTCCCAGATGTGGAGAGACGATGGGCAAGTCTCCTAACTCTCCTTACACCTGCTGTCCCTACTTATTTAACAACTCGTAGGAGTTAATTTGGTGCTGTGCGTCGCTTCCTTGAGAACTGAATAACATCATTGGACATAAACTATGTTGTTTGACGCCGGGTTATATTGAGCTATAAACACTCCGGAATTATAATCAAAGTATTATTTATGTGGAAGGTGGGTGAAACAACTTAAAAAGAAGGAAAACAATGTTAGGTGTGTGGAGAAGATAAACACTCGGGCGCTAGACATTACTGAAATAACAATACAAACATACAATACCACTAAACTATAAACTTAGGTTCGTAACATTTAAAAAAAAATTGTGGAATAATGAGCATAAGCCGACAAAATTTAGTAGAAAAATACTTACAGAAATAAAAGATTATATTTACTATAACTTCGTCATGTATCAAATAGTGCTTAATTAAACTCCAAGAGGGTGAAAGGTTGGTTAATTAGTAAAAGTTTTTTGTTGGCTTTTCCATTACCTTTAATAAAAAAAATTCAGAATTTTCTGCATTTCGATAATAATTTGTATAGACAGTGACAGATAAATGCTACAGCAACCAAGGACGGAGTTGTTATCGCTGGTGTTCTTAGCTACTTATGCTGCGAGATGTAACCTTGACGGTGGCAGTAGGTTCATACCTGGGATGAGTCCCTCGTGGTAAAATCTAAACTATTCCCATAACGTCGCATAAGGCCTAGCTTCCCTGGTGGCCTGTACAATGAGGTTATTATTAGTTGCAGCTGATGAGGCACCTCTATTAACTTTATTCCCTCTTGCATACGTCTAAATCTGTTCACACAATGTTTCTTATAATAGGTTGAATGTTTACACATTATTTCTTATATTTACTGGTAGGAAAGTTGAAAAGTTAATCGTGAACCTCTGAGAAGTCAAAGACTTGTGTACATTTTCTCTGATATATCTTCCTTGAAAAATTTAGATTAAACTTTGCAGCTATCCTGTGGACGATAGCGCAATAACATATATATAAACGTAAGGCCTAGAGAGGGCAAGACTCTGAAAGGGTTAACAGGAATACATATAGGTATATTACTTAAACAGTATATATTTCTTACAAATTATTTTATTTATTACAAGAAATGCTAAGAGACTTTCAGAATTTCTTTCTGGTATCTTATTTTGAAGGGAAACTTGAGCACTGAACAGTACACTAGATGGAGGGGCCACACGTGCCTTGGGTGCTGAAACGATGTACCAGCCACACTTTCTCAGAAAGATTTTTTTTTTTTACCGTATAGATTCACGAAAAACACGAATAAAATTAAGCACTTAGTAACGCCTTTGTTTCTCTTCCCTTCCCTGGGAATGTTCGTACAAAGACAGGAACCTTAGTTACGCATTAGCTCACTGGAATTTGCATTTAAATACAAACAAATGCACATGCATGAACTCGTCACCCCTCTGACTCATCTTTCTTCCTGTGTACGTTTGTATTTTCTTCTCCCCTTCCCACTTTCCTGCATGCCTTTTCTACTCTTACCTTATTGTTCCATCTTCTCCATCTTGCATGTTCAGCTTTTTTTCTTTAGCACAAGCGTGTATCTTTATTTAAAGACTAAAAGTTTTCATCCTACGTCATCTTTGCAAACCTATCTAAAATGTATTTATTCCGTCAGCCCTTGTGTTTCTAATGCTCATTTAAATATCGTATGTCAAGTAGTAGTCCTGATGAGAACTCCGGGATCCCCACTGGCATTTAGTCAGAGACATTTGTTATTACCAAGAGAAGTCTTATTTACAGCATTTAGAAAAAAAAGGCACATAAGCGTTGTGCTGCTACCATAGCTACATTGTGGGAATAAAAGCTAGATATGTTTCCCTGTCATATTCACTCAGGTTGGATTTCGCAACATCAGTTAAGGTAGTCTGCCAGCCTGAGAAACTTTAGAAAAACGATGAGGATATCGGATCAAGAGCTATACGAGATTAATAGGTTTCGTCCCAATAGAACTGAAATTGTTGTTACTTGGGAATTACCCTCTTGAAGGAAGGGTTCGAAGGGGGATCAGTAATGAAGAATTCTTAGGAAAGAGAAGAACTGGTTGGTAAGCTTGACTATCAACTTAAACCAGACAACGGAAACACCTTGACCGACTCTCGCCTGTCAACTTTTGTAACGACTCTCACCTGTCAACTTTTGTAACGACTCTCACCTGTCAACTTTTGTAACGACTCTCACCTGTCAACTTTTGTAACGACTCTCACCTGTCAACTTTTGTAACGACTCTCACCTGTCAACTTTTGTAACGACTCTCACCTGTCAACTTTTGTAACATCAACAAAAATAACCACAATAAAGACTCCCCACAACCTACACTTTGAGGGCCTTGAAATAATTTAATATAGTTCGTAAATTTAGGCCTACCTAAGATAGTGTGGGCTAACATTAAGATAAATTATATTGTTATTTTTGGCCACAAAATAACCACTGTGAAAAAGTAGCGAAATTCCATGCGCTTCCTTGACTTCTCATATTATCAAGGATTTCGCTATTTTTTCTCAGTGGTTGTTTTGCATATTGTGATATCACCTGTTTGCTGCATTCTTACACACAACAACACACACACACACACCACACACACATATATATATATATATATATATATATATATATATATATATATATATAATATATATATATATATATATATATATGCAAAACAAACCACTCTGAAAGAATAGAGAAATCTCTCTATTCTTTCAGAGTGGTTGTTTTGCATTCTGAAATCACTGTTTACTGTGATCTTATTGCATATATATATATATATATATATAATATATATATATATATATATATAAGATATTATATATAATATATAAATATATATATATAATATCTTTGAAAGAGTGCTAAGAAGCAGGATTGCAAATTATCTGGATTCCCAAAATCTGCACAATCCAGGGCAACATGGGTTCAGGGCAGGTCGCTTCTGCCTCTCACAACTACTGGATCACTATGATATGGCCTTGGATGCACTGGAAGAAAATCAGAATGCAGATGTAATATACACAGAATTTGCAAAAGCATTTGACAAATGTGATCATGGCGTAATAGCCCATAAAATACGTGCTAAAGGAATAACTGGGAAAGTGGGGAGATGGATCTTCAACTTCCTAACAAATCGAACACAAAGAGTAGTGGTCAACAGAGTTAAATCGGAGGCTGCCATAGTGAAGAGCTCTGTTCCACACGGCACAGTACTCGCCCCCATCTCATTCCTTATCCTTATATCAGACATAGACAGAGATATACATCACAGCACCGTATCATCCTTTGCGGATGATACTAGGATCTGCATGAGGCTGTCATCTGCTGAGGACGCGGTTAACCTCCAAGAAGATATAAACAAAGTTTTCCAGTGGACAACGGTAAACAATATGATGTTCAATGAGGACAAATTCCAACTACTCCGTTATGGAAAACTGGAGGAGATAATAACTAGAACAGAATATACTACAGACTCTGGCCATACAATAGAGCGGAAAAACTGTAAGGGACCTGGGAGTAGTAATGTCTGAAGATCTCACTTTCAAGGATCACAACAGTGCCGTGATCGCACGTGCAAAGAAAATGATAGGATGGATAATGAGAACGTTCAAAA